GGCAGCAGAACACTACGCTCGCTACAAGCGCACTTCCGGCATTCGCGCCGAAGATGATCTTTGGCACCAGCGGCTGGGACACCCCTCGCGCCAGACCCTCGCCAACTGTCTCCGCGCTAAAGTTTTTCCGCCAGGAGCACTGCTGCGCCCCGACGGAACAGAACCGCATAACACCCCTCACCCAGTCACCTGCACTGTCTGCCCCACAGCTGCGCTCTCCCACAGGGCCTACCCCTCTCTGGAACCGAGCACCAACCGTTACAAGAAGCTGGAGAAAGTATACAGCGACTTCATTGTGCTCACCTTTGACGGCATCAACGGCGAGAGATACACCCTCACCTTCATCGACGCCTACTCGCGCCATGTGTGGGTCGCCAACGTCGATGCTCGCTCCAAGGCTCCGGAAGTGTTCCGCATATTCCTTGCGCACGCGCAGCGTCAGTCAGGAAGGAAGCTGAAGATCTGGCAGGGTGACGGGGCCAAGGAATTTCGCAGCAACGAGCTCGAGAGTGTCCTTACCGAGAAGGGGATCAAGCATGAGATTTCCCTCCCCTACGCTCACCAGCAGCAAGGCGTCGCAGAGAGGGTTAACCGCACCCTCATGACAAAAGTACGCACCCTCATGAACCAGTCCGGCCTGCCGAAGAAGTTCTGGCCCTACGCCATGAACCACGCAGTGCGCCTGCACAACCTCCTCTCCACCACCGCCAATAGGGACAACCTGTCCCCTCACATGAAGTGGACCAGCTCAAGGGGAGACCCCTCCATGCTGAGGGTCTGGGGGTGCATGGTGCAGTACCGGCCTACATCGGCTACCATTGGCAAGTTCGCTCACCGCGCACGCTGGGGGGTTCATTTGGGCCTCAGCAACGAGCACAAGGGCTGGCTCATCCTCGACGTGGATAGCAAGGAGATTGTTCCCGCGCGTGACATTCTCTTCTACGAGCGTCTCACCTTGATGCAATGGATCGAGGACGAGCGGCGGAACGAGGCACGCGGCTACGTCAACAGCGGTCGCAGCTTTGCGACTCCAGAGGACGAGGCAGCAGCAGCAGCACTGGACCGCGACGACACCGACGAACACCCCAGCGTCCCGTCTCGCCCGCGCGACGACGACGACGATGACAGTGACGACGATCACGCGCCAGGTCCGTCACGGCGCCAAGCAGAAGCAAGCACCACAACACCCGGCTACGAAGGCGGAGATGACGACGTGGTGGAAGTTCCCACCAACACCGACACAACCAACGTGTCCGGCCTGCAACTACTCGGCCTGCACACGTCCGTCACCACCCTCGCACGGGCCGTGGAGCCAAATAATCCTCGCCAGGCCCTGACCGGCCCGCACGCCAAGGAGTGGCGTGCAGCGATGGATGTGGAGCTGAAAGCGCTGGAATCTCGAGACACGTGGGTACTAGTCGATCGTGCAGCAGTGAACGGGAGGAGGGTACTCAGCGGAAAATGGGTTTTTCGCTTGAAGACTAACGCTGACGGTACCATCGAGCGATTCAAGGCACGCTCGGTCGTACGTGGGTACGACCAGCGCCACGGCATCGACTTCGACCGGACCTTCGCTCCCGTCAGTCGTCACACCTCCGTCAGGATTCTACTCGCCATTGCCGCCACTAAACACCTACCACTGCGACAGATCGACGTGAAGAACGCGTTCTTATACGCGTTGGTGGACGCTACCATCTTTGTGGAGCAGCCTCACACCTACGGAGAAGGGGATCCTAGGGTCTGGCAGCTGAAGAAGTCTCTCTACGGGATCAAGCAGGCGCCTCGTCTCTGGCAGCAGCATCTGCACAAAATTCTCCTGGAGATCGGCTTCAAGCAGCTGCCGCACGATCCGGGAATGTATCGCCTTCACTTCAGCGGCGATTACATCCTCCTGAAAGTCTACGTCGACGACCTGCTGTACACGGGCACCTGCAACAAACTTCTTAACCAGTTTGAGGAGAACCTGGCGCAGCGCGTGGACATCACCATCAACCACAACGTGAAGCAGTTTTTGTGGCTGAACATCACCTACGCGCCAGAAGCAATTCACCTGTCAGCCTCCAAGTACGCAGAGCAGCTGGGGGAACGCTTCAACATCTCACCCGCACCACTCTCAACTCCCTACCGCAACCCCAGCGCCAACTACAAACCGGACAACAAACCTCTGTCACCCGCAGGGCTCCAAATGTACCAGCAGAAGTTGGGGTGCCTGCTATTCGCCTCTGTCACCTGCCGACCCGACCTTTCGTACATCGCTAGCCAACTGGCACAGTATTCCCGCAAGCCAGTAGCTGAGAACCAGCTGGACCTGGAGCGCGCCCTGCAGTACTTCATCTCTACACCTGACATTGGGCTCTCCTACTCCACGCTGACAACGACCTCCTTCAACCTCAACGGCTACGTGGACGCAGATCATGCAGCTGACCTTGCAAATCGACGGTCCCGAACCGGCTTCGTCTTTCGCCTAGAACCAACTGGGCCAATCTCCTGGAACTCGCAGAAGCAGGAGCTGGTTGCTCTGTCATCGGCCGAAGCAGGAGATGGCAGCAGACACCCTCACCAAGCGTCTGCCACGTCAGCAGTACAAGCACTACGCTGACCTCACCGGAGTAGTCAAGCGAGTCAGCTCCTCCTGCGCCCAGGAATGAAGGGGAGTGTTACGATATGAAATTACATGAGTAGGCATTCCTGTATGCTGCAGGAGCCGACTCTACCGAGTACGAAGTCGAGGAGTCAGAAGAGTCGAAGCGACGCAGCAACCGTCTGACCAAGACCGATGCAGGCAGAAACATTTGAAGTGAAAAGAGCGGGAACATGTTTGAAACGGGTTCCCGCGCCGCACGGTTTGAATTTCGCTGCAATAAGGGAATGTACCCCTTAGAGTACATGGCTAGTCTAGATCTTTTCGTATTCCCTTGTATTCTTATATAAACCCGATGTATGCATGCTTTTATTAACTCAGTCATTTACATTCACTCTGACCTGAGATTCAAACTTCCGCTACAACACTACTCTGCGATCAACCCTGAGCGATCCTTCGCTAAGTCCCACTTGGGATTGTAACACATGTGAACTGGCCTTGTGGCCGCTTGCTTGTGCTTGAACAGTGTGGTGATCTTGAGATCCACCCTGAGCTTTGCTTTGCTTCTTCTCTTGACTGGTGTCGTGACCATTTGGGTTTGTTGTCCCTTCGTGTTGTCGAATGGTGGCTCGGTGCTGCCGAACGGGGGTGCGAGGCTAGGCCTAATGGTGGCGAGACGGGCGTGACAAGTGTCACGTCGCGAGGCGACTTGTGTTCTACGGTGGCGTGGCCTAAGGAAGACTGAGTAGGCATAACAATCCGTGCGCGGATGCGCGTAAACATCGTTACCTATATCTATAAGTGTCGCTGACCCTAAATCCCGGGGTTCGCTCTGACAGTTGCCGAGATTTCGTGTCTTTACCCAAGGTAGTATGAGCGTGAGGCATATCCTGTAACTGACGCGATTTTCAGTATCCTTTCGCAATTCCTAAGGATTTGAACTGCTAGTGTGGGCTGCTGGACGTGGGGCATTTGAGGACTCACTTCGCCTGTCAACCGAGGGGCTGGGGCTGTAATCGCGTAACCAGTTTTTCAAAATCCATAGGTTTTGAATACCCACCTTGCAAATGTTTACTGTTGCTTTAACGAAATTGGTTACTAGCAAAAGGTCGACCTACATCAAAAGACACGCGCCAAAAGGGCTTCGTCGTCCCGTTCCCGTGCCAAGCCCCTCAGAGCGTCTTTCTAGGTTCTATCTGGCTCCTTGGTGGAACGTTTTTACGGCTGACACACACACACACACATCAACGATCCCTGACGCGACAGGTCTCTGGACGCCGTCAGCTCACATTGAAGGACGTCAGCAGCAACCGAGGAGCCTCACGAGCCTGTAGTTGATGCCGGCGGTAGGTTGCAGGGAACTGAAAGAAGCCACAGAGCAGCGGCCAGTTCAATTCACAGTCCCTACCACATCGATTTCCTGGTCCGAAAGGCTGGTTCTTGCAGCCATTGTTCTGGCGGCGCATCGGTTACCCATACAGTCGTTAGGCTGCCGTCCACGTCTCGATGCTCTCGGTGTCTTAGAGCACAGTAACCCGTTCCCGCGTCGCATGGCGCGCTCGCCGTCGCTATGGTGCGGATGCCCGCGGTCCGCGCGGAGAATTGCGGTGCGAATGCGCCTCGATGCGTGCATGTAGAAGCGTCAAGTGCGGAGCAGATTGCGCGCAGGGAGCAGCGGCGTACCGGAGCCAACGTTATGCGCGCTCGTTGTCAGAAAGGCTTGTGGTAGCGGGAGTTCTGGGTCAGCTAGTAGGGCAGCGGCGGGCGGCTCGTACGGGCTGTCAGCGTAACATGCGGCGCAAGACACGAGCCTAAGGAATGAAGCAGCCGTATCGTTTTTGTGTCGCAGTCTTGCCGTCTCGTCGCCGGGCGGCCGTAGCCATCATCAGCACGCATAGTCGCAGAGTCTGATAGTCGCTTATTCGTCGCATAATCGCCTAGTCGCGTCGTCGCATGGCCGCGTAGTCGCATCACGCATCGTCGCCTGACTTCGTGGGGCGGCTGCAGTCGCGGAATGAGCGTGACTAAGCAATAGTGTTTACATCAGCGAGTCCAACAGCTGTAGCGCGACCGCCGCTTGTCGCGGCGAAGGCGGCAGGAGCAGCAGAAGCGGCAGCCCGTAGACCCTGCGGGTGTTTCAGCCAGCCGCCGATCTCCACCCGTCGCACCATCCGTCCACCCCGTGACACCACCCACCTGTCCGCACCCCTTCCTCTACCCCACAACCAACTTCCCATTCCTCCTCCCCGTCCCCCTCTCCTCCACCACCCCGCCTTTCTCGCTCCCTTTCTCCCCCTGAGCCCTTTCACACTCACCCCGCACTAACCCCCAACCATTACATCTCACCCTCACCCTCACCCTCACCCTAACCCTAACCCTAAACCTAACCGGCGTAACCCTATTTCTAACCCTAACGCCAATGTTGCGGCGGTTCTTCCACCGCCCCAACACCAACTCGTGCCTGTACCTCATAATCGGTTTCCAGCTGGGATGGATTTCCACCTCCTTCCTCCTCTCCCAGCACCAACTGCTCGCGCACCAGCAGCACGACCCTTCCCCCTTCTCCCTCTCCCACCTCCGCCCCCCGCACGTCCCCCCCTGTGCCTCCCCTCCCTGCCACCGCTCCGTGCGCTCGCTGGGGGACTGGGGGCTGGCGGGGGCGGCGACGGGGGGGAGCAGCTCAGCGGATGGCGCAGGCGCGGGGAACGGCGGAGGGGGAGCGGGTGGGGCGAGCGCGTGTAACTTATCCGCGGAAGCGATTGAGAGGCAGCAGGAGGCGATAGTGGGGGCGATGCAGCAGCAGGAGGCGGAGATGAGGCGGCTCAGGCGGCAGCTGGTGGAGGGCGCTGCTGGGGGCGGCTCTGCTGTGAACGCCACTGGGGATAGCGCCGGTATGCCTCTCCTTGTGATTGTGCCTGCTGCGGCTCCTGCTCGGTCTGTCTGGTCTTAATTCTGCTTGCGTCAGTGCCGTACTGTTGTGTGCGTCTCATTGTTGTGGCTGGTGTGCATGGGGCTCGTGTTGTGCCTCCCTCCACCGCATGCCTGGCTGTGCGCTCCTGCTCTTGTGCGCATCCAAGCCCCTCCTCACTGCTTCACTAACCCTCACCCCCATGCCCTCCTTGCTTGCCACGCCACGCCACGCCACGCCACGCCACGCCACGCCACGCCACGCCACGCCCTTTGTGTGGTGCCCATCGCCCATGGCCATCAGGTGAAGCACCGTGTGTGCGGGACTTGGCTCGCAAGAATGGCACACTCCACTGGAACCCCAAACCACAGAGGTGAGACCAGGTTTGGCCTCAGGGGCCTTGGGGATTTGGAGAGACGACTCTGATCGTTGGGAAAGAGGATGGGTCTGTGGGGTGGGTCCTGGACGGGTACTGGCAGGAGGGAAGCAGCCCAAGCAGAAGACTGCTCCCCACCCCATCTCGCATGTCCTCCCTCCCTCCCGCCCCCTATTACTCCCTCCCCCTTACCCCCCTTCCCTCCTTCCCTCCCTCCCTCCCTCCTCCTTGTGCCTCCTATCGCGGTTGCTTATCCATGCCACCGTGATCTCACTTAGTTCATTCACACTCTTTCATTCTCCAGTGCAACAACCACAACTCCACTTTCCCAAAGCATTTCCGGAATTTCCTCACTCAAAGGCCTCGTCAATCTCACAAAACCTTCGCCACCCCCCTTCGTCCCTTATTATGGCCTTCCCCGCCCCCAACACCTCTCTCCCCTTCCCCCCCACTGTGTGCGGTGCAAGCAGGTACCTGATAGCCATGTGTTCGGGCGGGCAGCTGAGCAACCGGCTGGCGTGTGTGCGGCAGAGCATGCTGGACGCGGCGCTTATGAACCGCACTCTCGTCTTCCCCACGCACGGCATCGACTACGACTATGACGCCTTGCTCGGTGCGTGCGTGCACCGTGGGGGTTGCTGTGCGGTGCTGTGCGGTACATGGGCGCATGGGTGCATGGGTGCATGGATGCATGGGTGCATGGGTGCATGGGCGCATGGGCGCATGGGTGGATAAGTGGATGGGTGCATGGGTGCATGGGTGCATGGGTGCATGGGCGCATGGGCGCATGGGTGCATGGGTGCATGGGTGCATGGGTGCATGGATGCATGGGTGCATGGGTGCATGGGCGCATGGGTGGATAAGTGGATGGGTGCATGGGTGCATGGGTGCATGGGCGCATGGGCGCATGGGTGCATGGGTGCATGGGTGGATGGGTGCATGGGTGCATGGGTGCATGGGTGCATGGGTGGATGGGTGCATGGGTGCATGGGTGGATGGGTGCATGGGTGCATGGGTGGATGGGTGGATGGGTGCATGGGTGCATGGGTGGATGGGTGGATGGGTGCATGGGTGGATGGGTGGATGGGTGGATGGGTGCATGGGTGCATGGGTGGATGGGTGGATGGGTGCATGGGTGGATGGCTCCATGGGAGGGAGCATGGGTGCATTGTATGGCTGTAGTGGGGGTGCTATGTTCCAAGATGCAACATGACTGGCAGCATTCAGCACGTTGAGCAGCATAGCACCCCGAAGGCACCACTTGCTATGTGCTGAACACACACAGCACCCCATGCTGTGCTGGCTGTGCGGCTTGCTCCAAGGCGCTTGTGGAAAGGAAACCAGCATGCTGGATGGATGCCGCTCGCATGAGCCACACACTGCTCCTCTTCACACACGCCATTGATTGCACTTTGCAATCACACCACACCGCACCGCACTAGTGGGTGCGCACGCGCAGAGAGGAGGGGCAGCAGGGAGTGTGGAGGTGATCGCTCCTTTGCACATTATCAGCTCGTTTTTTTGCCGTCCTCAACTCTTGAGTTGCCCTAAGCTTAACACAACCCCCCCTGAACTCACTCGCACCTCATCACCAGTGGTGCACCCACTTATTGTCTCCTTCCCATCAACGTCCCTCATCCGTACGACAGGCCTCCTCCCCTCCCTCCCTACCTTTCCCACCTCATCCCTCGCCCTCCTTCCCTTGCCACCGCATTTTGCTTATGCCATCACAATTCTATGCATTCTCCCATCCCCTCCCTCCCGCCTCCCCCGTAAACATTCCTCCAGACATGGGTGCGTTTGAGGAGTGTTTTGGGCCCAACAGAGTTGTGTCGTTTGCTGCTTATAACGAGTCAGTCAAGGGCAGGGTGCGCGTGGGGCGGTTCATCTGCCATGTGCACGTCTATCAGGTGTGCCTGTCGACCAAAGTGTGCAATTCACACTTCATTCATCATACACTCCCACTCCCACTCCCGCGTGTGTTCTCTTGAGTGTGCCGCCCCAGTTCTTTATTTCCGCCCAGAGTGTGCACGTGTGTCGTTACATACACATGCTTGTGCCATCCTTGCATTGCATGCGTTTCTCTCGCCTTCCTAGCGCCCCTAGTTTCTCACCCCACCCCTCCGCTCCCCTTCCCCTCCCTAACCTCCAAACCACCCTGCCCCGTTGCTTGCTGCTTCGTCTCCTCTCTTCTGTCCCTTCTCCTGCTTGCTCCTCTCCCTTTCCACAACTCCCCTTTCTCCGTCTTCTCTCCCTCCCACCCCTCCCCCTCTCTTCCTCTCCTCCCCCTCTCCACATCCTTTCTGTTCTCCACGCTTGCCATTACTTCCTACTCGCCACTTGCGTTCGTGTCCCTGGATACTGATTTGAAGTGAGCATGCATTCTTCCCTGTTCTCTGCCTATGCATTACCTCATTTTCTCCGCGCCCCATTTCGCTTCTCCAACCCCACTCCCTTCCAACCCCCCCCTTCCCTCCGCTTCACAAACCACATTTTCCTCTCGTCCTTCCCCTTCCTACCCCCTCACCCTCCCCTCCCCCTCCCATTCTCCCACCCTCCCCTCCCCCTCCGTTCCTCTCCCCTTCCCTTCCCCTCCCAACCCGCTTCCACTCCCTCCTCTCCCCTCCCCTCCATTCCCCTTTCCCCCCCTCTCCCCTTCCCTTTCCTCCCCTATTCTTGATCCTCAGTCCCTTCGTTTCCCTCCTCGCCCGTCCCCTCCCCTGTTCCAAGCGCCAGACGGAGGCAGCGTGTGACGACCTAATGCAGCGCTACAGCGCCACGCTGCACATGCAGTTCGCAAAGAAGGAGATAGCGCGGCGCCGCACACCGGGCCCGTGGTTCAAGTACCCCGCGGGGGACTTCCTGCGCAAGTTCAACAGCGACCACCACGTCATCGCCTTTGGCAACATGTTCGGCGTCGGCGGCAGAGAGCTGCGCTTTCAAGGGGCCGCCCCGCTGGTGGTTTCCCCACAGTGCCGCGGGTTGCTGCAACCCAGCCCAGCTATTCAGGTGGGGGTGGTGGGAGGGGCGTGGGGGAACGGGATGGGAGGAGGGGGTGGATGAGGTGGGAAAGTGGGTTGAAGAGGGAGAGGGGAAGGAGAGGCAGCAGCTGGGGTTCGTGGAGAGAGCGGCTAGGGAGCAGGGGAAGTAGGCAACAGGCACCAGGTAGAGCCTTGAGTCGGAAGGCCATGGTTCGTGACTCAAATATTCTGCATAGTTAATTAAACTCTTGCGGCACAATGTGCACCTGTCTATCTGAACCTAACTATTCTCGCCTAGAAGCTACCGCAGGAGAAAAGCATCTACAGCAACCCACCATCTCAACCCGTACTTCTTCCACTCACACTCACACATGGCCCTTCTCCTCCCCCTCGCTCTCTCCCCTTCACCTCCCCATCCCTCCCCCACATCCCTCCCCCTCCCTCGTCCTCCCCATCCCTCTCCCTTCTCCCCCTTCCCCTCCCCCTCGTCGCCCCCCTCCCAGCAAGCAGCAGTGGGGTTCGTGAACATGTACCTGGGCCCCAGCTACGCAGCAGTGCACCTGCGGCGGGGGGACTTCTTCCACCACTGCATCCACGGCAACGGCCGCCTGCGCCCCACGCCCTGCTACCAGCCGCTGCACCAGGTGGCCTCGTGCCTGCACCGCCGCCTGCAGCGCCTGCCGGGAGTCAGCATGGTGTTCCTAGCTAGCAATGCCGATGACACTGAGAGGAGGGTTCTCAGGGAGACGCTCACCGCGCTGGTGCGTGGGGAAGGGAGGGAGGAGGATGTGTATGTTGAAGGGGGGGTGGGGGGTGGGGGAAGGGAAGGGGGTATTCAAGTGTTGGGTGGCTGTTTTGTGAGAGAAGTGAGTTGCTTGAGGTGGCTGTTGTCTTCTCCCTTGCGTGTGGCTGTTGCCATGAGTAAGCGGGTTTACCTCGTGCCATCGCACCGCACAGTAAGTGCACCTGCACCCTTACCCCTCCTCTTTCCACCCCACGAATTCTTTCCCTGAAGTATTGCGTTTGAGTGCTGTCAGGAGCATCCCTGCCACCCTCCCTGCCCTCGTTCCCCTTTTCCCCCACCTACAAACGTCTGCTTCTCTGCCCACGCTCGCACCCCTTCCCCTCCCCGCCACCCCTCTCCACCCCATTCCCCCTTCGCACAGGGCTCGTCCCACACACTCATCTCGCTGCCGCACGCGCTGCAGGGCCACGCGTGGGCAGAGCCGCTGGAGAGAGCAGGCGTGGCGGGGAGCAGCGAGGTGGTGTCGTTCCTGGACAAGGCCATCTGCGCGCTCGCCCTGCAGTTCTATGGCACTGCTGGTTCTACTTTCTCCAGTGACATCATGCGGTGCGCGCTGCTCCTCCCCTGCTGCTCCTTTCTCTCCAGACATGGGCATGTGATGCCACATGTGCTCTCCCATATGGCATCCAACCGCTCATCCCATGACTGGTCTTGTATGCCATGCCAGTGGTGACGGGTGTGATCAACGCTGGGTCCATGCTTCTGACTCTCACCACCTCATTCCTTGCATATTCTCCATCCATCCACCTCTCTATCCATCCCCTTCCTCTTCACTCCCCTAAATCTTCCCACTTGCACCCCACCCTCCCCTGCCCTTTCCCCCATGCCATCCCCCCCAGCCCTTCACCCTCCTGCCCCCCCTTGTTATTCCCCCCTCTCCTTTGCCCTTCTCCCATGCCATTTCCCCCTGCCCTCCCACCCTGTTATCACCCCCTCATCTTTGCCCTCTCACCATGCCATTCCCCCCTGCCCTCCGCCCCTGCCATCGTGCCCATCTCCAGTCTCCGTGAGTGGTGGAAGCAAGGGCTGTGCGAAACTTACATCTGCCCGGCCAATGAGCCTGCGGACTTTCTTCGCCTGCCCGAGCGCAGCAACGCAACTGCCCCAGCGCCAAGCCCTGGGGCAGGAGATTCTTCCCTGCCTTCCGTTGTGTCAGCGGGAGGGGGAGCAGTGAATGTGTCGCCAGGACAGCTGCAGGGGCAGAAGCAAGGGAAGGTGGCAGGACAGCAGGATGGACTTATTGCTGGTGCTGGTGCTGGTGCTGGTGCTGGTGCTGGTGCTGGTGCTGGTGCTGGTGGTGCTGGTGGTGCTGTTGCTGCTGGTGCTGCTGGTGGTGCTGTTTCTGTTAGTGGTGCTGTGGGTGAAAGTGATGGGGGGCGGAAGGGAAAAGGCAAGAAAGAGTTGCAGGGAAAGGTGGAACAGGGCAAGGGAGGAGAGGGAAGGCGAGGAGAGGGCAAGAGTGAAGGTGGGAAGGTGGCAGGAGCTAGTGGGAAGAAACGCAATGATGATGTGGCTCGGAGAGGGGACGGGGGAAGGGAAAAGAAGCTAGGAGAAAAGGCAAAAAACCAAAGCAAAGGGTGACCATTCTCCTTGCTCAGCAAGCATAAGAGTGTTGTTGGTGCTTGTGCTTATGTAGTGGAAGAGCATCTGGTGAAGTAGGCTTACACAATGTCACATGTAATCAATACGGTAGCTTCATTCGTTACAATGGTTTATTGCGACATTTATCGCATTTTCAAGATTCCTGTCGGCTTCTGTTGTCGAAGTACGAACAGCGGATACGTACCTAGAATGGTTGTACTCAGGGCCCAAAATTGGTTCTACCCCACCCTAGCTAATCAGGGTGGAGGCCTCGTCCACCCTAAACCCTGGTATTTTTTTTTGATAGCCTGACATATGTGTTGGAATTATGGTTAATTTTGGTTGCTCCGAAAACATTTATGTAGTGCTGGATCTACACTATAGTAGTGTAAAATACATTGGTTAGGTTGGGAGAACTTGTGGTGTACACTCTTTGGAATGGACCACCTCCCAAACCCTAAATGGTGAGGGTTCTTGGAACTCATTTCTTACAAACACTCTTGGTTCTAGCATGGTTCATGCCCGTTTATGAGGATGTTTTAAGACTACTATATCTTCCGATGGTATCTTTGACCATTCTAACATGGTCTAAGATCTCAGAATCTGAACACAACGGAATGGTTGACTTAGGAGAGCAAGGCATACAAATAGGAACCCTAAGAGTGTTGTACTCCTTAGAGTGCTACTCACTGCAGCCTACAACCAATAACAACATTTGACACACCCCCGTAGGCTAAGTGAGGGGCATCAAAGCAAGCATGGTGAACAAACGGTCACAAGACCAGTCAAAGCAAGAAGCAAGGCAAGCTCAGGGTGGATCTCAAGGACACCACACAAATTCCGAGCGCAAGCAAGCGGCCACAAGGCCAGTTCAAGAGTTCACTAGGATATATATAAGAAAACACAACAAGCAGAGCAAGCAACAAGACTACGGCAACCGAGTGCCTACCTCAACAAGCCCCAACTGCACACATAACCTGTGGTGATCACCAAGCGCCAAGGCCTTGGTGAAGACGTCTGCAGTTTGGCCTCGGAGGCCACAAATTCAAGGCGTGCCTGGCCGCGTCGCTGCAGCTCTCGCAGGAGGAAGTACCTCACGTCAATATGCTTCACTCTGCTCTCCAGTCGAGGCTCTCGACACAGGAGGATCATGGCCTTGTTGTCAGCGTACAAGGTCGGTGCAGAGCGAGGCCGCTCACCAAGGTCGGTGAGCAAGAAGGTCAACCAGCGAAGCTCCTGTGCCGCCATGGCACCAGCGTAGATCTCTGCCCCTGCACTGGAAGTAGCCACAGATGACGACCGTGTGGACCTCCACGACACAGCTCCCGCTCCCAGACTGAAGCAGTAACCCTGAGTCGAGCGCTGAGTCCCCACGTCGTCAGCGTAGGAAGAGTCGCAGTGACCAGTCAACGTCACTGGCTGAGTCCCTCCAAGTACAAGCCCCATGCCTGATGTAGTCGCCAGGTACTTCGCCACCCTCACAGCAGCTGTCCAGTGGACAGGACGGTGTCTCCCAGTCGCAACAAAACGAGAAAGGATGCTGAGGGGAAAGGCGAGGTCCGGGCGAGTACAAGTCATCAGGTACATGAGGCAGCCCACCAGCTCTGCGTAGGGGCCACTAGACTCAAAGGGCTCGTCGGGAAAAGGGGCCAGTGAGTCTGTGGTCAACAGCAAGAGGAGTGGGCTTTGTGGTGGAGAACTGGAAGTCGAACCGCTGAAGGACCTGCTGCACCATGTGTGACTGCGTCAGTGTGATGGTGCGAGCGGCTCTGTCCCCGGTGATCTGCAGGCCAAGGTAGCGCTGCAGTTCACCCAGGTCAGTGCACTTGTGTCTCTTCTGCAGTTCGGACTTCACCTGAGCCAGTGCTGCCCTGTCTGCTGTAGCAAAGACCAAGTCGTCGACGTAGACAAGGATAAAGAAAGGAGTAGAACCCTCACGAAGGGTCAGCAGACGAAGGACGAAACCCAAGGTCACGAAGCGTGGAGCGAAGAGTGTCGTGCCACTCCCGGGGCGACTGGCGGAGACCGTAGACTGGTCGCCTCAGGCTCCACTGGGTCCCAGGTGGGAAGGTGTCAGTGAAGCCAGGAGGACGTCGCAGCCAGATCTCCTCGTGTAGCTGGCCCTGGAGAAAGGTAGTGGAGAAGTCGAGGGAGTGCAGCTCGTAGTCTCGCTGCGCTGCTATGTGGAGTAACACCCGAAGAGTAGTCATCTTCGGGGTCGGGGCAAAGGTCTGGAAGAAGTCAACTCCCTCACGCTGACTGAAGCCCCTAGCCACGTAGCGCGCCTTGAACACCGGCGGTACTCCAGGCGGCCGCTTCACCTTGAAGAGCCACATGCCATCGACTACGTTCGCCCTGGGAGGGGGAACTGCGTCGACGTAGGTGCCTGTGGATCTCCAAGACGCCAACTCTGAGTCCATAGCCTCTTGGGCTTCTGCCCGTTCTACCTCACCTGCTTGTCTCTTGATCTTGCACTTGTTGTACACTTATATCTATATTTATACCTGCATGTTTCCTCTTGCTAGGTTGTGATCAGTGTACTGCCTTGCTATTATATACCTCTGCATGTGAACTGGCCTTGTGGCCGCTTGCTTGTGCTCGGATTGTGTGGTGTCCTTGAGATCCACCCTGAGCTTTGCTTTGCTTTGCTCTGTTGTCTTGCTTGACTGGTCTTCTGACCGTCTTGTTGTCCCCCACATAGCCTATGGGGGTGTGTCAATGTACAATCTCACTTGTAGGCTATAGTGGCACTCCTTATGGGGTACAGCACTTCTAGGGTTAGTACTTGTACCCCAACTCTTGCTAATCCAATCACTCCTGCACAGTTATTCTGGTACGAAGCACATTGCTCTTCGTTACTTCCTCACGCGAGAGCTGCAGCAGCGTGGTCAGCTTCGTCTTGCTTACGTGGCCACACAGGCCAACACTGCTGATGTCTTCACCAAGACCCTTGGGTCTGGTGATCATCAGCGTTTCTGCACTCCTCTTGGGCTTGTGCCCACTCTGCCTCACCTGCTTGTCTCTTGATCTTGCCTTGCCCTTGTTGTACACCGATATATATGAGTATACCTGCATGCTTACACTTGCTATGTTGTGATCAGTGTACTGCTCTTGCTATTATAAACTCTGCATGTGAACTGGCCTTGTGGCCACTTGCTTGTGCTCGGAATGCGTGGTGATCTTGAGATCCACCCTGAGCTTTGCTTTGCTTTGCTTCTTCTCTTGACTGATCTTGTGACCATTACTTGCTCTGGCTATCCCCCACTTTGCCTGTGGGGGTGTGTCAAAACATATGTGTTTATGTTTACTTAGGTTGTAGTGGGTTTAGCCTTAGGGGGTACAACACTTCTCTCTACTTTGTACTTGTACCCCCCTTTGACCTAATGCAATCATTCATTCCTAGTTTGACATAACCCTCAAGTGTTGTACTTAGTAGAGGCTACCCTACTACAGCCTACAGACATGCAAACACAGTTTGACACCTAAGTCAATAAGCCCGAGGTCAGCATGGTAATTTTTCAAGTTATGTGAGGTTGAAATAGTCTGGCGAAAACTTGAAAATCGTGTATTTCGAAAATGTGAGTGGGGCGAAAGCGAATTCAGGAGGCGGGTAAAACAGCCTTCGCCACGATACTTTGCGACAGCTGTTTCCGAGGATATGGGAGGGCCGAACGACTCAGTGTGCGACAGAGCACTGCTCCCGCCCCACCAGATATGGTGGGGCACACTGCGCTTCTCTTGGGGTTGAAATGGTGGGCAACGCGAAACTCTCACGCGAGTAAGAGTGAGGCAGTACACTGAACACTATTTTTACAATTTCTAATTGACTAAAATGTATGGATGGTTTTGAGACTGAATTGGCGCAGAAAAGCATTGAAGGCAAATTGTGAATCATAAAAGGGACATCCCAAGAAACACATTAGCAATACATTTCCAAACGTACACTCTCAAGCTCATATCCCGCAACTGATAAGGGTCTCGGCCGGCCACATAGCGACATGCCGTGCCATTCCCTGCACCACTATGCACTCCCCCGGCCCACCGCAGCGCAGACCAGCCTTGCCCCACCGCACATGCCTTGACGTGCGCTGCCGCCAGCATTCCTGTCAGCCTGCCTGCCCCCTCCCGCATCAACGCTCCGCGGCATCCTGCTGGCACTGCCAATCTCCATATTTTTGTCGCGGCCCCTGCCTGCCTTCACCCTGTGCTTGCCTTTGTGCCTCCCTCCCACGCCACTCCGCACTGACCATGCTGCACAACCCACTCCCTTACCTTTGCCCCATGATCCACCTTCAACTCCTTGCCTGCACAGTGCTGGCTGCCAGGCAGAGCGGCTCCCAATCCCTCCGTACATGCAGGGGCGGCGGCAACAGAGAGGGCAGGGCCTCATAGGGCGCAGGTCGGCAGAGGGTATGGGGCAGCAGGGGAGGCTGAAGGCAGTCTCGAGAGGAGGCTGCCTCACAGCTCCGCCAGCTCGCCTCAGGGCAGATCCAGTCGAAGATCTGCTGGATGCGGTGCTTCGGTGGCCTGCCGCAAGGAAGAGGGGGAACAAAGGGGGAGGGAATGGGGAGAGATTAGAGTGAGTGGAAGAGCGAGAGGGATTGGGCACATATAGAAACAGACGTGGTTTGGGAGAGGTGGGATGGAAGGCGTGGACAGCAGGCGGCAGGCGGTAAGGTGGGCAGGCGGTAAGGTGGAAGTACTGAAGGAAACAGAACAGAGGGTGGGGAGACACAGGGAAGAGGGACACAGGGAAAAGGGACAGGGAAACGGGTAACACGGAGACAGGGAAGGGGATGGGGGGAGGCAGGGAAGGGGATGGGGGGAGGCAGGGAAGGGGATGGGGGGAGGCAGGGAAGGGGATGGGGGGAAGCAGAGAAGGGGATGGGGGGAAGCAGGGAGCGGGATGGGGGGAGGCAGGGAAGGGGATGGGGGGAAGCAGGGAAGGGGATGGGGGGAAACAGGGCAGGGGATGGGGGGAAGCAGGGAAGGAGATGGGGGGAAGCAGGGCAGGGGATACGGGGAAACAGGGAAGAGGATGGGGGAACGGGGGCAGATTCCAGGGAGAAAGCTTGGGGGAGGATGGTGGGGAGCAGAGAGGGGTTCAAAACGCTGTTCGATTGGGGTGGCGGAGGCGACCACCTCTGTTCCTCCCCCTCTGGAGATGGTGAGATGGGGAGAGGGGAAGAGCGGATGGAAACGCTGATGACGAGGGGAAGCGCGAGTGACTGGGAGGCAAGGGCGACGACGGGACGCGCGAGCGACGAGGGGAGGCGAGGGCGGCGAGGGTCGGCAAGGGTGATGAGGGGAAGCACGAGCGACGAGAGGGAATGTGGGTGACTAAGGGAGGTGAGGGCGGCGAGGTTCGGTGCGGGTCGACGAGGGTGATGAGGGGAGCGCGGGTGACGATCTGAAACGCGGTATGTTTACTATCAGCGATTGCGACGATGGGATGTGTGGTTGACGTGAGAAAGCGCGGGCGACTAGGGGAACATATGCGACCAGAGGGTCGGCGAGGGTGATGAGGGAAAGTGCGGGCGACGAGGAAAGCGGTCTGACGTGGGAAAGAGCGGCCGACGAGGGGGAACATATGCGACTAACGGCAGCGTGCGTCACGCGAACCAGTACGGTATTTGTTAGAGACTAGGCAGGGATGAATTGACTATCGAGAGGATTGGTACAAGGAGAAAAGCCTAAGGGGTTATACCCCACATTATCTACCCCACTACAGCCTACCCACAAATATAACATATGCATATGTTTGACACACCCCCATAGGCAAAGTGGGGGGGAGCAAGAGGTCACAAGACCAGTCAAGAAAAGCAAAGCAAGCTCAGGGTGGATCACAACGTCACCACACACACTGAGCACAAGCAAAAAGGCCACAAGGCCAGTTCACATGCAGAGGGATATATGCAACAAGAACAGTATAGTGATCTCTACCTAACAGGAGCAAGCATGCAGGTATATATATATAGATCTCAGTACAAGCAGAGTCTACAGCAAGTGTGGAAACGTAGGCACAAGGCCCAATGAAGTACAAAAGCGCTGATGATCACCAGACGGAAGTGCCTTGGTGAACACATCAGCAGTGTTGGCTCGAGTGGCCACGTAAGCAAGACGAAGCTGACCACGCTGCTGCAACTCTCGAGCAAGGAAGTAGTGCAGAGCGATGTGCTTCGTTCTGTGCTCCAGTCTGTGCTCCTGACACAAGGCAATGGCGGCCTTGTTGTCGACGTACAGCACTGGAGGAGAACGAGGCCGCTCTCCCAGGTCGGTCAGCAGGTAGGTGAGCCAGCGTAACTCCTGTGCAGCCATGGCTGTGGCGTAGATCTCAGCCTCACAACTGGAGCTGAGAACTGAAGACGAGCGTGTAGAACGCCAAGAAACTGAACCAGAGCCAAGGCTGAAGGTGTAACCCTGAGACGACCGCTGCGTAGCCTGGTCGTCAACCCAAGAAGCGTCTGAGTGCCCAGTGAGGACAACGTCGCTCCGTCCTCCAAGCACAAGCCCCATGCCCGACGTACTGCACAAGTAGCGCAACACCCTCTTAGCGGCATCCATGTGCTCCTTCCGGTGACGGCCAGGAGCGACATAGCGTGCTAGGATGCTAAGAGGGTATGCAAGGTCAGGTCGAGTGCAGGTCATCAGGTACATGAGGCAGCCCACAAGCTCTGGATACGGGCCACTCGGCTCTACGGACTCATCCGAAGGCAGAGCTGAGAGCGAGTGACCGGTAGGCAGAGGAGTGGACTGAGGCGAGGAGTACGTGAAGCGGAAGCGCTGAAGGACCTGCTGCACCATGTGTGACTGAGTCAAGGTGATGGTGCGCTGTGCTCTGTCCCGGGTGATCCGCAAGCCAAGATAGCTTGTCAGCTCACCCAGGTCTGTGCACGTGTGTCTCTTCTGCAGCTCCGACTTCACGTGGGCGAGTGCCTCAGTGTCAGCAGTAGCAAAGACCAAGTCGTCTACGTACACGAGAACGTAGAACGGCGGCAGAGTGGTGTCGGTGCGTAGAAACAGCGACGGGTCAGCAGTAGAAGGAGCAAACCCAAGAGCAGCAAGAGTAGTCCTCAGTGTGTCGTGCCACTCACGGGGTGCCTGGCGGAGACCGTAGACTGGCCGCCGGAGGCTCCACTGGGTACCAGCAGGGAACGACCCAGTGAAGCCAGGTGGGCGGCGCAGCCAGATCTCCTCGTGCAGGCTGCCCTATAGGAAAGCAGTGCTGAAGTCAAGAGAGTGGAGCTCGTAGTCACGCTGAGCGGCGACGTGCAGCAGAACCCGAAGAGTGGTCATCTTCGGGGTCGGGGAGAAGGTCTGGAAGAAGTCAACTCCCTCTCGCTGACTCAAGCCTCGTACAACGTAACGCGCCTTGAAGACAGGCGGAGAACCCGGCGGCCGCTTCACACTGAAAATCCACATGCCACTGACGATGTTCGCCCCAGGTGGGGGAACCTCGTCGACGTAGGTGCCTGTGGACTTCCAAGAAGCCATCTCTGCGTCCATGGCTGTCTGCCACTGAGAGGAGTAGGGACCCTCTATCGCCTCTGCGTAAGAGCGCGGGGTCGGGATGTCTGGTGCATCCGGGTCTCCCTCAGGGGCAATCAGCATGGACACGAGATGAGGTAAAGCAGCGGCAAAGCACTCAAACTCCTCCTGTCTGTCCTCAAGGACGTCCGTGCCAAGAGCACACTCACCCCCGACGGACGGAGGACAGACAGACTCAGACTCAGCAACAAGGCTAGCGGCGTAGTCTAGACGACAGGCGGTAGCAAAGTCAACAAGCTCAGCAACTAGAGCAGACGCAGCAGTGGACTCAAAGGAAGGGTCAGTGACAACAGTAGCGAGAAGACGCGTGACAGTAGGACTGGCAGCACGAGCAAGGTCTGACGGCGGGTCAGCAACGTCAGGAAGAGAGGACGCAGGAGGAGACGGCAGAGGGACACGATGTGGAGCAGTGGAAGGACGCAGAGTCATATAGTGAGTGCCAAGTACAGGAGGAGGACGCTGACGCGGAGCACGACGACCAGCGCGGACAGCGCGGACAGGCGACTCTGGACGAGACTCAGGTGACTCAGGACGAGACTCAGGCGACGCAGGACGAGACTCAGGCTCACGACGCTCCGTAAGACCTCTAGTCGGCCCAGCGTAGGGAGAAGGACCAGGCAGTGGAGAGGCAAGCGGTAACTGAGACTGCGACTGGACAGGTGGTGGACTCAGTAGGGGAGGAGAAGGACCAGTGGAGGGCGGGAGGTCAAGAACCTGCTGAAGGAGCGGAACGTAGTACGGCCGCGGCCGCTCAGCACCTCCTGAACCAGCAGAGACAGCACCAGCACCCTCAGCCCCAGGGTCTCCAGCACCAACTCCCGCAGCACCACCAGCAACCCCAGCAGCTCCAGTACCTCCAGCTCCAACCCCCGCAGCAGCTCCAGTACCTCCAGTACGAGCACCTCCAGAACCAGCGGCTCCACCAGCTCCAGCACCAGCAGTACCTCCAGTAGCTCCAGCACCAGCAGCGCCTCCAGCAGCTCCAGCACCAGTAGCGTCTCCAGCAGCTCCAGCTCCAGCAGCACCTCCAGCAGCACCACCAGCAGCTCCTGCGCCAGCAGCACCAGCACCAGCACCAGCTCCAGCTCCAGGGTCGGCGGCACCAGCCGCAGCTCCAGCTCCAGGGTCCGCGGCACCAGCAGCGGCTCCAGCTTCAGGGTCCTCAGCACCAGCAGCAGCTCCAACTCCAGGGTCGGCGGCACCAGCAGCACCACTCCGGAGACTGCAGCGCCGAGCGTACCACTCTCGGAGCCGCTGGGGAGAGGGCGGCTCCCGCCTAGGCGGGGAACCACGAGCACCAGCTCCAGCAGCACCCCTAGCCCCAGAAGCGCCCCTCCTGAGGCTGCAGTACCGCGAGTACCACTCACGCAGCTGCTGGGAAGAGGGAGCGCCTCCAGGCGCAGCACGGTCAGTCGCAGCACCCCCAGGCTCAGTACCCTCAGACGTAGCACTCTCAGGCTCAGCACCCCCAGACTCAGCACCCGCAGGCTCAGCACCCCCAGACTCAGCACCCCCAGGCTCCGCACGCTCAGGCTCAGCACCCCCAGGCTCCGCACCCCCAGGCTCAGCACCCCCAGGCTCCGGACCCCCAGGCTCAGCACCCCTAGCAGGACGAGAGTCGACAGCTACCTCGACAGGCTCAACCGGGTCTACCTGGGACACACCTGAGGGGGGAGGGGGTCTACCACAGCAGCACCTGGTGCGAGGAAGAGAGGCGGGTGGGGGAGCGGGGCAGTGCGGTAGGGGAAGAGGCGGTAGTAGGGGACCGACTCGTCGAAAGTGACGTCCTGAGAGGGCAGGACACGGCGCGAGGTGGCGTGGTAAAACTGCCAACCAGACGCGTCCGGGACAAAGCCAAGGAAGACACAAGGAACAGCGCGGGAGGAGAGCTTGTCCGCGGACATATCGCGGACAAAAGCACGAGATCCCCAGACCCGGAACACCGACGCATCGCCAACCTTTCCCGTCCAACGCAGTGTCGGCGAAGTCTCCGGAACGGAGACACGGGGCCAGAGGTTGAGCTGATGCGCAGCGTATCGGACCGCAAACGGCCACAGAAAGTGGGGGGCAGCCGCATGGATCAAGGAGGTACGAGCGACCTCCATGACCAAGCCAATGCGGCGCTCAGCAACCCCATTCTGCTGTGGAGAGGCCGGAAGCGTGAACAACTGCTCAATGCCCTCCCCCTGACAGAAGGCCCTCAAGAGTTCGGAGGAAAACTCCCCACCTCTGTCAGAGTGCAGACGCAGGACAGGAAAGTCCGAGTGGAACCTCTCGCTGAGCTGGAGACGGGCAGCGCGGATTCAAGGGATCAAAACATCAGGGACTTCACCCTTGGTGCGCAAGGGGAAGACCGTGGTGTAGCGCGAGTAGTCGTCAACAACTATCAAGAAGTACCTCTCGTGACCCTGTCCACGGACGCGGGCTGGGCCCCACACGTCCATGTGGAGGGTCTGCAGGGGAGCAGTCGTCGGGGGAAACGAGGAGGAGTGAGGAGCGGCGCGCTGCCGCCCCTCGACACAGGGAAGACAGGGAGGAGCAGGCGAGGGTGGGAGGGGAGGGAGAACCCTGGGAAGACCAGAGACAAGGTACCGGGAGTGCATGCCACGAAGGCGCTGCACTGACGGGTGACCAAGGCTGTGGTGCCAGAGGACGGTCTTGTGCGCCAGGGAGCGACACGAGCAGGGGGCCGACAGCTGACCTGACGCAGACGCAGACGCAGCTACCTGAGGGGACTCAGTGGTCAGTGTGTACAGGTCCGACCCCGGCTGCCGAGTGAAGGTAGCCAGGTGGCGACCCGTCCGAGCACACGTGCAATGTGTCACGCGCTCGTAGGCAGGGGTGAACTGGTGGACACCCCCGTCCTGGAGCGCACGACCCGCCACCAAGTTCGTAGAGAACGAGGGGAGGTAGAGACCTGACAGTGTGCCCGACGGGACCGCAGGACAAGGGAGGACAGTGGAGGAGGTCGCAATGACCGGACCCCCAGAGGGGTCAGCGAGGGAGACTGCAACCGGCCGAGCAAGCTGCTCAAGGGCAGTG